TTTATGATTTTTTTTAAATTTTTTTTTATAAAAATAGTACCCATGTTCATAATCCATCAATTTTTCTTGTGCTTTACGGAATTAATTCCAATTCATGCTGCAATCAACCACTGACAGTCGCACAACTGCATTCCTCTCCCTTCTCATACTACCCACACATCTTGTGCTTACACACACACATACACTCACACAAATTGACTGCTGCAGCGCTGCTTTTACGCTGCCAGTTGGACAGCTGAAATGCACAAAGCAGCAAAAACAACATACGCACCACACTTTTATAAACTATTTGTTATTGTTGTTGTAGAAAACTTACACTATTTTCGTTGCTGCTTACACAGTTTTTACTATCACTGAACGCATTCTCACATGATTTACTTTCATAAAAATCGTTCGATTTCGTTAGAATAACTGAGTCGAGAGCTGCGACGCCAACGTTCTGTCGCACAAGCGTCCGCTGCTGCTGCTTTTCGTTCACAGCCTTTGCCACACAAACTTGTTATTTGTTTTCCGAAAGCAAAAAACTTACACTTTGTTGCAAACACCGCTTTATTTAATGCTATTTTGCTGATATTTATCAACGAATATTTTTATATTTGTCTGCAATATGCTTATTACTAATGATTATTTTTCTTTTTCGCTGACGCACTACGCTACGCGCTCACGCTCGGTTTACGTTCGTACACGACGGCGACCGCTTCGAAACTCTTTTGCTCAGCCAGCGATTGCCTGCATTTTTCCCACATTTGTATATCCCGACAGCATTTGCCGATAGTTTTCACTACTATTTGCGCACACAAACACATGCACATGCATACATGTAGATTTGTATGTGCCCACCGCTGGCCGGGCACAACAGCAACACTGGAAAACTGGTTCCGCGTTTTTGTTTACACTGTGCGTGCGAGCGAGATGGCCATTATTCGATACAATCAATGCGGCGAATATGCAAGGCGGCGAATATGCAAAGCAGCGAGTGTCGTTTACTTACTAGTTGTTTTGCCAGCTGTCATTTGTTGTTCGTTTATTTCCGGCAAGTCAGCTGTTTTGGCAAATTATTTTCGTTGTTAATTGAGCGTTAAAGTTATAAATAATTTATAGTTTTTAAAATGTGTTGGGTTCCACAAGCAAATATGTTTTCGTAAGTGTAAACGACGGTCAACGGTATTGAAATCTCTATAAACTGCGCTACCGCGCTTAGATGCCCGTGTTGCTTTCTCAGCACTTTACCACAGAAAGTGATGACAGCTTTCCACCGGAAATATAGTTAGTTGTCACATGCTCCGAAAGTTATGTTTATGAAAAGCTGAAGCTCCTTCTCTTTAGTATAGTTCACCACCATCCTTGTAACATATGGTTCTATATATTACTGGCAGAGCATGCATGAACCGTGGAAGCATATCCAACGGGCATAGCCAGCAAAGCCTTCATTCTCTGCTTTAAAAGCTCACAGACTTACTTTAAAGCTAGAAAGCTTACGTGTTCAAGAAATAGAAGCTTTTAGAGCGGGACCGTCTGCTTGGTAATTGGGCTTAAAAAGCTTGAATGTCTCTATATGCTGTCCGCAAGCAAGTGAAAGACTGTTCTCGTTACTTTATTAACTTGGAAAACTTTTAGCTGGGACAATGGTTCTCGATTTAAGAAGTTGCGATATAAATTTGCGTATGAAATCAAGTATCGCGCTAAGTGCTAGAGGGCAATGTGTTCCTCCTTGGAACACGTGGATATCAGAGCCTTGCTTCTGTGTCTACAGATTGCTACACACTTTAGAAGCAGATGTCCCGGAGTTTCACTCCATATCACCTCCATATTATATATGGCTGCCTCTTGTGCCTGCAATTGCCGTTGTCTATCGAGACGAGGAGTCTAAATTTGTCTTAAGGAAGATTTATTATTTGTTTGAACCACTTGAGGTTGTGCCGTCCCAGTAGCAGTTTTGCCTGACGTAAGCCAGACGCTTGCAGCCAATGTCTTTCTCAGCCTTTTTCTCTTTCCGAAACTATAATTTTTTTTATGTGGACCCCACAGCCCAGAAAGGTTCCGCCCCCATCGGGTTGGAGCGAGCAAGTTCATCTACCATCGTGTCCCGAACTCCAAATGAGACGAAATCAGTTACTGCTAGGCTTGCTAGCCTTAACCAATAGCGCTTTCATCTCGTAGGTATCAGCTTTATCTTAAAATTGCAAATTTTAGTTCGTACTGTAATGCGGGGAAATCTCTAGCAAAGACACGCTCCTATTCAGCAATTCCACACACCGCTGCGAAAAATTGGCTACATTTACTTTTGTGGCTTGCAAATTGTATATGAGAAAAATGCAGCTACAGCACATTTTTATAAAATATATATTTTTGGGTTTATTTGTTTCTTCTAATTAAACTACACTTTAAATCTCATTTTCGTACAAATGTAAGATTATAAATCTCATTAGACTCTCACGAACGTCCTTATATTTCGGGGAAGGCGCTGCCAATCAGATGCTTGCCGCGATAACGCCAGGTGTAGGTGACAATGCCGAAGCGCTGGTTGCCTAGTGATACAGGACACGTGCGATCGGGGCGCAGCTGGAAGCATACTGTATAGAGAGCCAGTTCCAATTCGGGTGACGTGCCAGCAAAGACACCATTAACTGGTTTATTGACACCTTTATGACTGAAGCGTACTTTCAGGACCTTAGCTTTCTGTGGAATGAAAGGGAAGATAAACAAATATATGTCAAATAGTGATTCGCTTTCGTTCGCACTCACATTGCCCAAATCGATTTGATGCAGATAGCCCTTATAGTCCAGGCGGCCTGCTTTCTCCTCGTCTGCGAAATACACCCAGTTGTGTAAACCAATCAGCGTGCCATTCTTTACTTCGTGCACGAAGACATGTTCAAAGCCCGAACTGCCAATGCGGCCCTGTCCACGTGAGTACTGTGTAAACCAAAGCTCTTTAACGAGATCGCGGTGGGTCTTGGGATCGGGTGTTACAATGCCTATAAGTAAGCGGAAGGTATAGGTAATGTGTGATATATGGCAAATACGCATCTTAGATTTTTTGACTTACCTTTGTTTTGCAAGAAGAGCATGGCCTGACGCATGACCTGTGTGCCCATTACTGCATCGACGAACTCATTCTCTTCGCGACGCTCATTGACGGTCACATGTTCATTGGCCAGAGTATCCTCTTCGTAGTTATCGAAAAGTGCACGCATTTTAGCGACTGTCGGCGAATCATAGGCGCGAGGTTCGACTTCGAAGAGACTGAATAGAGAGAAGTTGATGACTTGTAGTTAACGGTTAAGTGCTCGCATCTATCGTAGACTACTTACGGATTCGGCGCCTCGTCCGTGCTATCAATCGACCTTGTCTTGCCCTGTGGATTGATATGTACCAAATTTAACAAGCTCTGCTCTTTAGCATACAGCTGCTCAGTTAGAGCGCGTATTTCGTCATCGCTAGCAACTGAGCTACCGCTGGAACTACTCTCCGCACCAGGTTTTGCTGTAGTTGGGAGACCGGGAACGTGTGGCACAAACGAAACGCCAGAACCACCAGCGCCAGGAGTACCTGGACGCGTGGGACTGCTTGGCGTTGGTGAAGCTGGTGCTATGATGCCGCCACCTGGACGTGAGGGTGAGGCTGGTGTGGGAGAACCCCAGGCAAAGGTTGGTGTGGGTTGTGCGCCACCTCCAGGGGAGGAAGGTCGCAGAGGTGAAGCTGGTGTGGGGCTACCAGGGGTGCGTGGTGTTGGTAATGCTGGGAAGTCTTCTTTGCCCACGGAAGGCCGACGTGGTGGTGGCAAAGGTGGGAAATCATCTTTTGTTGTCGAAGGACGGTGTGTAGTGGTCGTTGACGATACACCAATACCGCCGAAACCATTACGCATATCCAAACCTATAGCGCTGCCGGGTGGACTTGGTTTTGGTGTTGTTGTTGTAGTCGTGGTTGTGGTACTAGTAGTAGTCGTTGTGCTGGTCAATGGTGCCAAACCGAAACCTGGACGTCCGGCTGTGCCACCTTGTGGACGTGCGCCACCGCCATAGCTAAGATCCAAACCAGATGGCTGGGCTTTAGGTGGTTGATATGGTAAAAAACCAGGTGGCAAATTCGGTTGTGCGGTACCCGGACGACCAAAATTATTCACATTACCAGCATTGCCATAACCGCCGGCGCCGCCAAAATTCGTCGCAGTCGGTACGGCTTGCGGACGTTGTTGCTGCTGGCTGCCGGCTATTGGACGCAAACCGACTGGTGTGGTTGGAGTTTGTGCTGATGACTGCGGCGTGGGCTGTGGCCACTGTGGTGGCTGCAAGCCATTGCCACCGAAGGGCGAAGACTCAGGTGTGTCAGGACGTGGTCCCAGCGGCATTAGCGGCGCATTTGGGTTAATGGAAAATGGTGGTGGTTTTTGTACGCCAGCGTTGTTGGGTTGTACGCGCGGTGCATTCAGCGTTGGTTGGGATGATGTGGGGGCTGGCACATTTCGTGGTGGCAACGGTGTGGTGGTGGTAGTGGTCTTATCTCCGCCACCACCGAACCACCGACTAAAAAAGCCGGACTTCTTTGTTGTCTGCTCTTCCGGTGGCGCTGGAGTTATCTCGATCTCTGTTTTGTAGCTGGCTAGAAAAATTAAATTTTAATTAATTAATTAATTTTTTATTCAAATATTTATTTTTCTGGAATTAGCACACAAGCGCGAGGGAATAGAATGGGGAGATAAGCATTGACACACAAATATTTTATTTATTAAACTCAGATAAGAAAAATTTCAAATACTGCTTGAGTGAGATTTAGCTCATCTAATTTTAAGAATGTTTTGTGGGATTTTTTCGTTTAAATTTTTTTACGAAATAAAAACAATTGCTGGCTTTCTTTA